GCGGTGACCCGCGGGGCTGGGGACCCGCCGGCGGTGGCGGTGGTGCCTGTGGGACCGGCAGGTCGGTGCGGGCGCGGTGCCAGCCTGCCCTCGGCCTCTCCTATCAACCTCCCGTGTCCTCCCGGGGCCCGGCGCCGGGGACGGTCCGCAGCAGCCTCCCGCGGCCACAGCGAGCCGTAGGACAAGCAACGTGTCCCCATCGGGCCCCGAAACTCTTTTTTTCCTGGTTAGAGTTGCATTAAGGATGCTGTGTTTAGTGTGTGTGTGTCAAGATGTGCCTGTGAAGACAGTACGCAAACGAATGTTATGAGGAGAAGCTCAACATGAGCTGATAATCACGGAATCGCCTAGGTTGGAAGGGAACCTTAAGATCATCTAGTCCAACCATAATTAAACCAAACCAAACCAAAAAACCAAAATAACCCCCCAAAACCCCACACAAACCAACACTAAACCAGATTCCCAAGCACCATGTCAACTTGTTTTTTGAACACCTCCAGGGATGGTGCCTCAACCACCTCCCTGGGCAGCCCATTCCAATGCCTGATAACCCTTTCAGTGAAGAATTTTTTCCTAATATCCAACCTGAACCTCCCCTGGAGCAACTTGAGGCCATTTCCTCTTGTCCTATCACCTGTAACTTGGGAGAAGAGACCAACCCCCTCCTCTCTACAACCTCCTTTCAGGTAGTTATAGAGAGCAATAAGGTCTCCCCTCAGCCTCCTCTTCTCTAGACTGAACAACCCCAGCTTCCTCAGCCTGTCCTCATAAGACTTATTCTCCAAATGTGCACTCACAGCCCGGAAAGCCAACCACATTCTGGGCTGCAACAAAATAAGTATGTCCAGCAGGTCAAGGGAGGTGATTCTGCCCCTCTACTCCACTCTGGTGGGACCCCACCTAGAGTACCGCGTCCAGCTCTGGGGCCCCCAACATAAGAACATGGACCTGTTGGAGTGAGTCCAGAGGAGAGCCAGGAAGATGATCAGAGGGCTGGAGCACCTCTAGTGTGAAGATAGGCTGAGAGAGTTGGAGTTGTTCAGCCTGGAGAAGGCGCCAGAGTGACCTTATAGCAGCCTCCCAGTACCTGAAGGGGACCTACAGGAAAGATGGGGATGGACACTTTATCAGAGTGTATAGTGATAGGACAAGGGGTAATGGTTTAAACTGAAAGAGGGTAAATTTAGATTAGATATTAGGAAGAAATTCTTTCCTGTGAGGGTGGTGAGGCACTGGAACAGGTTGCCCAGGGAAGTTGTGGATGCCCCATCCCTGGAAGTGTTTGAGGCCAGGCTGGATGGGGCTTTGAGCAACCTGGTCTGGTGGAAGGTGTCCCTCCCCATGGCAGGGGGGTTGGAACTCGATGATCTTCATGGTCCCTTCCAACCCAAACCATTCTATGATTCTATGGTTTAAGTAATGTGTTTTAGAAACAGGTGATACTGCGGATTAAAGATTTTATTTGCATTCCTTTCCAACAGTTATCTGCCTCTTGTATCTTTTTATTAAAACACCTGCACCAGAGTCCTTCACACCACACCAGCCTGCGGTACGTTCTGCACTTTCTGATTTGCAGGGAAAGGAGGCACTGGTGTATGCAAAAGACTGGAATACATCAGGAGTAATATTTCAGCTGCAAATGCATTTAAGTGTATGGCATGATACCTTGTGTTACCTTCACTGCACACTATGAGAGGGAGACTTGAAATCATACACATCAGGGTCTGAGATCTTATTCATCAAATGGAATCTTTCCAGAAAGAAAATCAATTAAAATCCATTACTCACACCCCATGAGCTCTTCCAGGCACCTAATGCACTGTAAGAGCCAGTGTTATTTTACAAATTGTGCAGGTTTACTAGGAATTATATACAAGTTAAAATGGCTAAGTGCAAACTGTATACAATGGCTCTTGTTCTCTATTATTAATTACACATTAATCACTGGAGATGTGCTTACAACTACATTCTGCTTCCAGCAGCAGCATCTGAATTTCTGCTCTTGAAAACAACCCAAAACTGTAGCCCTTGGCTTCAGGTTACTGATTTCAGTTAAGAAAGCTAAAGCATTTGGGGCTTATATTTTTCAGGATTCAACTCTAATTTTAATTAGTCTTCATAACTTGGATTTTGATTTGGGATCCCCTTCATCTCTTATCCCTTCACCACAAACACACCTCGTGTTTTTAAGCTGTATTATGCTATTGAATTAATCTGCAAGAGTATATAAGAAAAGACTCGTGACTACTACTCAGTGCAATGTATTTAGGCAAGTAGGTTACTAAAACTGACCAAACCATTTTATAGTTATCACTTTCGTTTCTTAACTCCGAAACTCATAAGCCTCAAACACAAAACCAGATATTTGGCTGAACAACTACTAGCAGTGTGATGCACAGTGGTAGAAAAGGTACTTGCTTTTCCGAAAGCTTTTTTCTAGAAGGTCACAAAGCATTTTTTCTCTTTGCAGTCCTCTAAATGTATGTTAAAAGATGTGCTGTCACAAAGATAGAGATATAAAATACAGATATGGTAGATATAGAACATGAGTTTTATTTCCTGTTTTTCTCTCAAAACTGTCTTGGTGATAAATGCAACACTTTTAAAAGAAAAAAAACTGTCATAAATATTCCACTAAACAGAGAATGTAAAAGGCTGCATATATGTAAGAATGCAATTTCGTGAATTCGTATGTCAGCAAGTTCTGTGTCTGCTCATGAGCACGTCCAAGGAGGCAGCGTTAGATAAGCTATACCAAAGAGAAGAAAACAGACCAGTGACCGGATATGGAACATCAAAGAGCAAGCTACGGCACAAGTAACGCGACATTTGAGAGTACTGTGGAAATGATACTGACACGTGCTAGCTTTCCATTTGAGAAACTGCCTTGATTTACACATCACAATTCATACGAATCATTGTCTCTTAAGACCAAGGGGGCAGGTTAGCCAAGCCCAGGTGTGAGCAAAACCCACAGCCACGTGGTTTACTGCTACACCCGATGTTCTCACTGTCTCCATGCACACCCCTGTATATGTTTAGAGGTTGTCCTATGGTTTAGAGCTCTTTTCTGGACAATTGCTTGAGCTGTGATCCAAGCTGTGTGGCCTACATGCAGGACTGTGGGAAGAGCAATGAAAGCAGCCTCAGTGCTGCCGCACATTCCCTTGTGTCCCTTCTGGAAAATTAATGATTATGAGTTGTAGCCTGAGTAAAGAGAAGCTCTAACTGGCACCAGCACACGAGTGTTATAACCTGCACAAACTTCCATTTCATGACCTTGAGTGTGGACGAGACCAGCATTAAGAAAAAAAGCCCAAATCAGAGCACAGTTAACTTTTACTGTAGAAAAAGCTTAAGTTTTTTATCAACTGTGGCTGGAATATTTGTGACAGTTCAGACTTTACTAACTAAATGACCCAAACTTGGATTTCTGCAGCTCTGGGGGAAACAAGTCAAGGCCAGATTTGAATCCAGTGAGATCAGTAAGGGAATTCTCGGGTCTTCAGTGCTGTTTACTAATTAAGTGTAGTTCTGAAAGGAAAGCGGTGATTTATTATTTTGAAAGAGAGGCCGTATTGTACCACTGGTACATGCAAAAAATTTTTGAAAAGACTAACTGTTCCACAGATATGAATGGTGTTAAAAAAAAAAAAAAAAGAGAGTGAAAAAACGGAAAGGAACCAAACATCAAGATGAGTTACATTCTTCATCCATCAAAATGGTAAGAAAAGAGATGACAGCCCAGGATGGCTTAGAATGAATCCTTGGCTTTCAGTCTTCACCCTGTCTGCTACAAGTTATATTAATCAATTAATAATGGTGGAGTTTCTTGCATAGGGAAAACTGCCTAGTATGGTAACTTTGGCTTTTAATAATTTATGACAGGGTCTTGTTTATTCGCCAACTTAAAGCTGCCTGCTCTGCAATATCTAGAAGGCATCCAATAGTACATTCCTGCCTACTTCAAGAAGGTAAGAAGAAGCAGAGAGAAATCATGCAGAGAGGAAACCCCAAAGGATTACCTGCCAAAGCACCTGAAAAAGGGACTAATGTACTGGGAAGAACTGGTAAAGAGGGAGCAGTGTGTGGGATACCTTGGGTTTCCCTGTAACGTGTGCTTCCCTCCCCATCACTGCATGGGCTAACACGAACCTGTCAATATTCAGGAACAGCCTTTGCAAAGTCTTCGACACAAGGGTACACCACAGACGTGATAAACCCAGTCACGCTAAAGCAGTATTAATACTGGACCTAAGAGAGAAAATTCTGTTTCTGAAGTTACTGAAAAATAGAAAATGCAGTTTTGTTAGTACCTCAGTAATTTCAAAATCTTGTTGAATTAAACTAAGAGGAAGAACTTTGGTAGAACTAAACTGGTCTAATGATTGAAGTTTAAAAAGTGTCACTTTTTTCCAGCTCTGAATATATGCCTGCTTTCCCCACACACCCCCCCCCCCCCACAGGGTAGAGCCAAAACAGAGTACCTTCATGATAGATGTTCAGTTTCAGCTTGGAAAATCTTATTTTATTTGCATTTTTCTTTTTAAACTACAGAGACATCTTATAAAAAGTAGGCAAATATGCTTCCCAAATGTTACCATCTGTCAGAAAGTTATGTACTCATAGTACTTTTACAGTATGGAATACAAAGAAATTGAGAAATAGCAGGAAAAGACATAAAAATGTCAGCGATAATGCGATTGTAAGATCCCATAGGCAGCACCTGGTGGTGGGATGCTGAGATGACTGGGCTTGGGCCCAGTGTGCAACTACCCTGTGCTGGTGGGCAGCTGGGGAGCCCCCGAGGCTGGAGCCCCTCACAACTTC